TTGTATCAAAATTTGGAAAAACCCTAGGGAAAATATTAAATTTTTTTATATATTTTTCTAATTATACTAAAATATATTTTAGTTGGAGATACGTATATTCCAATTACAATCTCTATAAAGATGGTTTTTTATCTACTCATAGTTCGATATATAATCCAATAAATTATCCATAAGTTGAGTTTTTTTAATACTTCCATGATTTGAATTGAAGAAGGAATTTCTATGACGTTTCTTTAACTTTTTTAACACGCACAAAATATAGTTCTCCTCTCACGGGAAAGAAAATTTCGAAATGGAATTTTCTTCTTTTCTTTTCCATTTTTTTTTTTGGTAATCATTTTAAAATAGAAAGTGAAGAGAGGGGGCTAAAGAGGTGATAAATTACACAAATAGGCATAATTAAAAATATGAAAAAACGACAAAACAAAAAAATGAGTGGGCGGCTTTGTGATTGGTCCGTAATCTAAATGCGTGTTGAGATTGAGTTCTGCGTTGACTTTTTGTTTTTTTTTTGTCAAAAAAACAAAATTACGCGAAGACCACTTTGGTCAACTTTATCAAACGAAACTACACTCGTTCTGGTCAACGGGCAAGCATTGGCCATATACACATAACGGAGGAAAGCATTTTGTTTTTTAAAATAGTTTTTTTAATTAATTGTATAATGCAAGTATAATCGATTTCATTACACGATTAGTTTATAGAATTAATCAACAATAGAGAATTAATTTAATTACCATGAGTGATATATATGTTTCGAGGAGACGGCGATTCCCTAAATAAAGCCAACAATGGAGAGTTAATTCAAAAGTTACAACATAAAATATCAAATTATTTTATCAACCCTTCAAGCAGGTTTAAATATAACATTGGCACAATCTATAATATATGATTCCTTGCGGACGATTGATGGGGTTAATGTAAGTCTTGAGTTAGTGGATTGCATGATCATCATTGCCATTTTAATTTCATATTTAAAGCTATAATGATATGCTCTATGTTTAGCTATAATCTTCCTTATAGCAGATCGGGATTTCATATAGGTTACCCCTAAAACGGAAGATCGAGTTCTTCGTGCATGCTTTCCTTCATTAATCTCTATAAAAATATACGACGGGTTTAAATGGATATAGTTTGGTTTAATAGAATGAGTTGCGTAAATATTTATTATCCATTAATCAATAAACAAAATAAGAGAATATTTTTCTCAATCCATTGTAGATCTCTCAAGCTCAATACCCCCTTGTAAAAGGTTTTTTTTTCGGATTTTTTTTAAATATTCGAAGAAAAAAAATACTTAAACCTTAGTGGTCGAGTGGTGAGTGAATACGCGAAACGTGGTCTTAATCCGTGGGGTCTTAAACTTTAATATACCAATAATTTCGCCATTTTAATATAACCTGAGTATTTGGTTCCATTACTTTGACCGATTGTAATTCGCTTTTGTTTTTGCGTATCTAATTGTGATGTAACTCGGAATTCTCTTCTGTATTTGGGCAGCGTACATATATATACAAATTTACCGTTTAACCAAAAAAAAAAAATATATTGAATTTTATTTTTATTTTATCACGTTCGTGAGAGCTCGTTGGATGGTGCCACGTGTATTTCACGGCAAAGCGGGTTAAGTTCACGGCCATCATGATTAGCCATTCGCTTGTCATCTTCTGTGTTTCACGATTACGTCAGCATGACATCTTCCTGTTACTCCGAATCCTTTGCATTTATTAATGTTGCAATATGAAGTAAAGTTTCGGTCTCTTTCGAGTGAGCAACTTTCTGTAGTTTTTTTTTTTATAATTTAAAAGTTAACCGAAAATTTGACCCAACTATATTTTCTAGAATACTAAAAAAATTCACGTGAATATTCCTCGTCAAATAAAGATTCGAAGGTGAAAAAAAGTTTTGTTCTCTTTGTTATCGGTTGAATCATTCAATCTTATATTACTTTGGTTATATTTTTTTTCTGCAAATTTACTTCAAATTTATACACTCGAATCGATTTTCTTATAATAGCTTTGTAAAACCGTAAAACAAAAACTGATCTTTTTTTTTGGTATAAAAAACTGATCTTTTTATATAAAGGATTGTACAAATTTAAACCTTTTATAGTGTATTAATGTGTGGACGAGAAATTTGTGTGTTAAATGTGCATGGAAAATACGTTTATATATATATATATATATATATATAACTGTATTCAAATTTTCCCCTATAATTTTGGACTCCTAACTTGTCAAAATATTACAAAATTTTAACACCGACATAAAATATTGAACTGAAACACCAGTAATTATTTAAATTTTTTTATAAAAACTATGGATGACAAAATATTTCATACCGAGATTTTGTGAATAATTTTAATACGATATTTTCACACCAAAATATTCAATGCTAATTATTATTATTATCTACTTTTGGTATGTGTTTATCTGTTTCTTTAGAAGTGAGGTAACATAGGGAGAACTCGTTGTGATGTGAACAAACTTTGGGCTCGACCCCACTTGGATGCAATGATTACCCTTCTCGTAGTTACAAACGTCCCATTAACGGCGTTACTTCAATCGTCACATCTACGAGACGGCGTATGTAAAACGTTTAACGGAGGGAGCCCCATGAAGAACAATTGTTTTTTTTTTTAAAAAAAAAGGGGAAAAAAAGGGATTTTAAAGGGGAAAGAAATTGTGTGGACTTAGGACACTTATCAGATGTTGCGCCAAACAAGGCTCCACTGTTGTTTGCCGTGTGGGTCCCGCTTTTGACCCTTGTCCCTTTCTCTTACCTACTTCTTCTACTCTCATATCTATCTAATACATGTTTAAATACTGATTTATATATATATATATATATATATATATACACACACACACCATTACATAGGCATATAGCATGCATTTGGGGATTTTTGGTTTATTTATTTTCTTTTTTCGGATCTTCGGTAATTCTGATAATAATATATTCATTCGATTTTGTAGAGTTTCAATACAGTTTTAATGTTATATTCGGCGTCGTTTGACTTCCACTTTTACTAATAAAAATATTATTTTGAAAAACAACATTGCATTTATTTATTTTTAATTTGATACTTTGTTTCGGATTCAGTCAATTTAGTATTAAAAATATAATATTTAATGATTTTTAGATTGTGTATATACATTATTTAGTATTCATATATTAATTTTGGCCGCCATCATGATGATTAGAATCCTCTTGTTGTTTCTTGGAAGCTAGAATCTTTAAATTTTGGACTGTAAGATGATTCATCTCAATGGATCATAAGGATAAAATTAACTAAGTTAATTTGGATATTGCCCATTTATAAGACGTTGACTATATATGAGTCTATTATTCATAACTAAGAACGGTCACCAGCTAATGAATTGGCATGGTCTAAGTAAATATTTTTGCGTGATTTATAACATTATAGTTTTGATTATTGTAACAAAAATCTATTAAATGTAACATCAATACTGGTAGATTTTCACCAAGGGAAAACACACACAACTGCTTGTATCTTAGAATGTTATAAACTAATGTCTGCCGTGAAATGAAAATTTGGCAGGTCAACTTATAATGTTTTATTTTAAGCCATTTTCATATAAATCAAAATTTTGATTTTGACTTGGTTAAAAATATTCTACAAATAATAAAACCAACATATAAAATTGATGAATGGATCATTAGTTTCTTGGGGATGGATTGTCAAATGGATCTGACCTAACTGACCCTTTGAGTCAATCTAAGTGTACCATGTAATATTGACAGCATGTAGAGATTTTGACGTTTAATTATATGATTAATTAGGATTAATCGTCAATAATTTTCCATAATATATATATAAATATATGTGTGTGTATATACATTTATCATGAACTGCTAACTATGGTATACATAAACTTAACTTTTCTCTGATTACTTTTTTTTTTCTGAAACAGTTGGCCCCTCAAGTCCAATTTAGTTATTATGTGGGTTTCGATAATAGAAATAGAAAAGGAAAAAAAAAATGCAATGGCTTGTAAAGTAATTGACTTTATCATTTTTATTAAAAAATATAATATTTGTGTGGAATTTATAAAAACCACTGCTGAGGAAATGTATAAATCAATAAAGAATATGGACCGTTTGGTATAAAGATGGCAAAGTTTATTACATAAAATACAATTGGTCCAAAACGGTGACATGACACCCAGACCAAAACCCGGCATCGTTTCGTCATAATACCATATCGCTTTAATTATTCTTAGGGGAACAATAATAATGTTATTTTATTTTATTTGTTCACAAAAAAAAAACTAACAAATCTTGGGTAAAATTCGCATTTAAAACAAAAAAATAAAAAATTAGTCATCTGATAAATGGATTCTCCAACGGTCCATGCATGTTCGTAATAGAATATATGTATTTTTCTTTTACAGAAACATATTTTCATAGCACTAGAAATGGGATCTAAACCTTTTATACGATTTTATAGAACTAAAAATTTATATTATAAGCAAATAAAAAGAAACATTTTGAAAAAGCATTAAAATTAAACTATTAGTAAGGATATATTCTGAATCATTTAGAGCAATTATTTTTATATATACATATTATAATAATGATTATTAATATACCAAACACCTATCTAATCTCGAAACCTTTAAGCTTTAATTAATCCGAGCATAAATTTTAAAAACGAATCATTATCTTTTCTATTAAAAAGTTAAGCAACAAAGAAACAAATCTTACACAAACATTAGTATTAAAATAAATAGAAGCAATTTGGAAATTGCCATTTCTTTTTTAAAATAGAAAGCATGAATAGAATAATAAAAAACTTCACTTGGGGAATGTTATGATGAAAGTTTTTGTCCAATCCTTTTAAATGTCAACCAAATTCTGGTAATTTCCACACTTGTCCGTACTCGCATTTATATAATATATACAAGTATACACACATTCTATATGTACATGTGTCTTTGTGTGTGTCTATATATACACACTCATACCACCCACCATCAAAATCATAATCATATAATATACACATGTCTGCTTGATCATCTTTCATTACCACCCTCCCAAAGAGGCTGATATCAAGAAAAAGCATACAAAGACTCACAACAAGAACAAAGACATGGCCGAGGAGTTTCCGGTGACCGGAATATGCGGCGGCGCTTGGTGGAATTCGCCGAAGACCGTGATGTCTCCGGCGGAGATATGCTTGTCGCCCTGTTCCATGGGGTTTGGACCTGGTCTCATTACTCCTAACGGTTTCGGCTTATCTCCGGACATGAAATCTAATCTGTCGTGTACGGAAAATAACAGCGCATGTGGCAATAACTCCATCGCTTTCGGACACAAGCTTCAACGAGAACCCGATTCCGACAGCGGTGGAAGTACGGTCACGATCGATTCGACCTTGCAGATGATGGGTTTAGGGTTTCCTACGAGTTCATCCTCGGACTGGAACCAAAATATATTGTAAGCCAAATCTTCCCGGTGATCTTTTTCTTTGTTGGTTAAGAAACCTTGTCTTATTCTTGCTCTGTGTTGCAGGCAAGGAGACTTGAATTCGAGCTTGATGGGAAGAACCTCTCAAGATTATTGCCAAGGATTTTTATCCGTGACATCACCCTATGCTTATAACCCATCTTCTTCTTCTTCATCATCATCGTCATCATCATCATCATCGTCATCATCTTCTTCTTCTTCTTCTTCTTCGCCATCTTCGAGTTTGTTGCAAAGCTTTTACGAAAACGGATTGAATCCTTCCCTTCTAAACAACAACCGTACGATGAACAACACCTTGCTGATGTCCATGACCAGTTGTTCCGAGGATCCACATATTTCTTGGTCCAAAACAGAACCTTTCTTGGAACCCATGTCTTCTGCCATGATTCCGAGTTCTAAGCAACAGACTGATTATGGATTTAACATGTCTAACACCAACACACCACCCTTTTGGAGGTCGTCAAACCCTAACTTAGACAACATCAGAACCAACAGTTTTGTGACCTCTCCACAGATCTCCACACGTTTTGGAGATAAACCCTTGTCTTGTCACAACAATATAGCTCCCAAGGTAAACTATAATAATTACAAACCATACATACATACATACATATATATATATATATATATATGCTTGTGGCTGAATAATTTGTCTTTTGTGGAGATCAATCTTCAGAGAAGTAGTTGCGGTCAGGCCGCGAAGAAGGCAAGCGATGAACATGCAGCGAAAAAGCCGAGAATCACGACGCCTTCACCATTGCCAACTTTCAAGGTAAAGACAAACACAAAGGATGAAAAGATTGTCCACCTTTTTATTTTTTAATCTGTCTTCTTTAATTTAAAGAAACGGAATTTTGTGTGGTTGGTTAAGCTTGTGGACAATATGGTGAAACAGGTTAGGAAAGAGAATCTAAGGGACCAGATCACTGCTCTCCAACAACTGGTTTCGCCTTTCGGAAAGGTGGAATCGACAATCTGTTTTTTTTTTTTCTAACACAGTTTTGTTTCTTAAGCTTTGTGTTGAATTTTTGTCTCGTTTTTTTTTTTTGGATGATTTTCAGACAGATACTGCGTCTGTTCTCCAAGAAGCTATCGAGTACGTCAAGTTTCTTCATGACCAAGTTAGTGTATGTCCTATTTTCTCTTCAAGATCCAAGTTTACATGTATCATATAATTGTGGAAAATTAAATATCGTTTCGGCTCGTCCTAAATTCGATTTCTTTATGTTCATAATTTAGGTTCTTTGCACTCCATACTTGAAACAAGGCACCTCGGCCCAACAACAACAACAACAACAACAGGTACAATTAATTAGGTTACAAGATTCGATTAAACCTTCTGATCGGATGCAAACAATTCTTTGGAGTCGCTGCCTAACTTTATATATATATATATATATGAATAATCTTCGAATATTATCGTTATGCATGCAGTTCTCTGATAAACTAAAAGATCCCCAAGGAAATGGCACTCAGGACCTAAAGAGTCGTGGTCTGTGCCTCGTCCCGATATCGAGCACGTTCCCGGTCGCTAATGAAACAACTGCTGATTTTTGGACACCGACATTTGGTGGCAATAATTTCAGGTAAAAACGAATATACATATATACATATATATATATATATATATGTTCACGTACATATCATATGGATCGTCCGACGAGCTTGGTATATATAGTTCTTGATCAGCATCAGAATTACTAATTAGGGTTTCAAAAAAAAAAACTAGAGGGTGAAACAAATTTGTACTCGTGATCATCAAGTTGTCATTTCTTGAAGAAAAAGAAAAAAAAAACTGAAAAAAAAAAAGAAAGAAAGAGGAAGAAGATGACTCTTCAAAGATAGGCGAAGACAAGAATGGTGGGAGGGGGACCAGCAAAACAAAGCAAGGAGGAATGATTAAGGGTTTTAAAATGATTAATTAGGAGCTCTTTTAAAGTATATAAAAACATTTAGCCTGAAAAAAAAAACGACACATGCATGCACTTGCTTATGTTTTGTAATGATCGATGTGATTTGGTGTTTTATTTGTAGGTAATTAACAAAAAAAAGAGGAGGGTTTCGGATTATCAAGAGGGATGGGAACATATGCTAAATTCAGCCTGAAGACAAACCATAACAATAATTACTGCCTTAATTAGTACTTTTTTTAAAATATATTTTTCTCTTTAAAAAAATATATATATTTTTTCAAGTGTCTAATAATATAGGTGAATTTAGCAGAAATGGGTTGTTTGAATAGAGAACCTGGTGTTCCTGTCCCGGTTCTTGAATATATATGTGCAGTTTGCACCACCTTTTTTCCTTTTTTTTTAATCATGTTATAAATATAATAGTAAAATAATTAGTTCTTTACTATAAGAAGTTGTTATTATTTCTTGAATATATTTATACATATCTATATGTATATGTGTATCTATATGATTCAGCTTCTCGAAAAAACATTATGAAATTTGCTAGTGGAAGCCAGTAGTCTACAGGCCCACTGTTTCTACTTTATGATTTGTGTATATGATTGCATATAATACACATAATATATATATATCGCACTGAAAATTCTTGTGTTTTGAGAACTGGAGTAATCGTTATTACTAAAATTTGTTAATACTTAACATAAAAATTTAGTTTCCCAAACATTATAAATTTTATGTTTGGTTTGACATCTCTAAATAAAACAGAAAATCCCTAATCTTCGTGTTAAACTCTAACCCTCCTCTTGAGAATGTTAATTCCAACATTCTATCACTCAACACATTATCTACAAATATTTATATAAATACAAAATTCAACATTATAAAAAAGTTTAATGAAAATTATGTAAATTTAACCATTTTTAAAATAAATGATAATTATAATGTTTAATAATATGATTTTATTATTACTTATTTATAATTAATTTTTTTCAAATAAAAAAACAAATATCGACAATGATGACAACCAAAACAAATTATTGATATCGAACTTATATAACGTCTATGCAATGATACTCATATTCCTTCGTCTTTTTGTTTTTTATGGGTACAATATAATGATGATTAATTTTACAATAACTAAAATTTATAAATAAAATTTTCCTTTTATAAAAAATAATCTAAATCATTTTTATTATGATCATATCAAACATATATATTAATCTCACCTGGTATTATTCTAAGTTCAAGAATTAAAGTAGGAAGAGATTAGGGGAACGTTACTATAAATTGATGGAAGAGTTATTATTCTTTAGAAGTTATGCGTTGAAGATATTTGAATTGACTAATGATGAAAAAAATAACAAATTTGAATTATATAATAAAATCGATTCCCTAACCAAACTTTACCTTAAATTTGATTGGTTACTTACTCCCAACCATGGGATATTGTTTTGAATCAATTTCGTAAAATTATTTTGGTACGTACCAAAACATGACATGTCCCAAAGAAAATGGGATCTTATTTTAATATCTACTCAAAAGGAAAGGTTATGTGCATAATTCTCATGTACAATAAAGGAAGAACAAGTTCATCTTTACTTTTGAGTGAATCTCTCTCTTATTATTATATATAAAATTCAAATAAATCGAATTGAGTCCGAATTATAAATAAATTGGATAGTATTAAATCAAATTAACCAAAAAAAACAAATAAAATAGATAAATTTTTATAAAATAAGTAATAGAAACTGAAATAAAAACGAATCCGAAATAAAACTTGATATGAAAGTTGAATAAATATCATTTTTTTTTTTGTAAATTAAGCAGACGAATCAAACTGAACCAAAATACATTCATATATATATATATATGTATGTATGCTTTAGGTTGGCTAATGAGAAGGACAAATCTCTCAATGTCTTAAGCTTGAAGCTTGTTTGAAGCCCAAAAGCTTTATTCCTTTTCTTTTTATTCTAAGCTTTAAAGAATCAGGACGCATGGCTTATTATCCTCCAAACGATTTATTATATTTATTTTGATGAATAAGAATATATTTCATTAATTTAAAATTGATATATATTCAATCATACTTTCCTTTCTTTTATTAAATTTACATTAAAATAAAAGTGGCCATGATCGGTGAGGCATCATAAGGTTATAAAATACTTGACAGTCCAATCATGCAATAGATGAACTCTTTTTTTATTATCTTAAAGTAAATCAAAACAAACGTTTTTTGAGCCATTTATAAGCCTGTACCTGTAGTATCACAACTGAGAACAGGCTATAAAAAAAAAATTAAAGAAAGGTTATAACAAAAGTATATAAAGAAATTGTAGTTGGACCAATGTTTTTAAAATTATACAAAAAATGTATATCTTGTTTTTGAGTAATTATATTACGAATGTTCCTTTAATTGATTTTAGAGATTTGAATATCTAATTGGTATTAGACTTGTTGGCTTGTTGATTTGTGTTTGCAGATTACGAAAAAAACAATGTTTGTTTGGCTAACCAGATGTTTTGGATCGAGACCTAAATTAATTCCGAGATTGGAAGCAAATTATAAGATTAGAATTTGCAACCGTCTCTCTAATTTGAAGCTCGATTTCGGGGTGTATGTTTTGGGTCCCTATTTCACGTGTTGAATATCCAATCACTTTGATAAAAAAAACAATGTTCTTCGAGTTTCGGATACATTCATGTCGGGTAAATGTATGGACCGACCCTTTTCGAAACGCAAACTTCATACGAGGTTTGTAAATTCTTGTATACAAATAATATGATTAGAAGAACTATAAGCCCAAATCGAAAATATCATATGGGGAGCTGAGAAATTGCTTGTTTAACAAATGTTTTGGATTGTATATGTGTGTATATAACTATATATATATATATATACCAAATCAAATATTTTGTTTCAAGATGTTCAATCTCAGAGTCGGTCTTTGTTTTACAAATTTTTAATTCAGTTTGGTGTTGTTGTAAGAAACACATGTAACAAAGATTAACTTACATAACGGAGAAGCCTTCCTGCAAAATTCACAGTAACCCAAAAATATATATATATATATATTCAACAGAAGAGTATTTCTATTAAAGAGCGAAAGCTATTAGAAAAATAAAAAAGGGACAAAATTATTTTCATGCCTTCGTGGAACTAGAAGGAGAGTGCGAAAATGTCAAGTAACTCGGAAAAAGTTCGGTTTCCAAATTTAAATGGTTTTAAAAATGGAAATAAACTTTGATATAAAAGGTTATATATGCTCACGTCATTGCCTTAGGGCTTAGGGTTTAGGAGTCGCTTCCTTCGTACGAAATCACCAATTTTGCGTGAAGCCCTCGATTCTATTGCATTGCATGCCTTTGTGGGCCGAAACCAGACTCACCCTCTCTCTCTCTGCGTTTGGGTTTCTTCAGGAGCTACGAACCCTGGAAAATCTCCCGGAAAAACGCCGACGGAGTTCTCCTTTGCCGTTAGCTCCCATGCCGAACTCAATGAGAAGATGCTTCCCGAGTTTTTCGTTGTAGAGATCCATACCCAAAACGCGTTTCCACGTTTTTCTTCGCCATGTCAAGGTTCGTTTCTTGTTTCGGTGCTCGTGCCTGTGTTGTTGTCGTAGATCCTTTGTCGGATTCTGTTTTCAGCTTCACTAGGGTCTTTTCGTATCGCTCTATCTAGGTTTGTCTTGGGTTTTCTTGTCTTCCAGTTTTCTCGGAAAAAGATTTTGGTTCCTGGGTTTACATAATTTCGAGCTTTTATCTATCTGTTTGTGAAAAATCTCGGAGATTCGATGATGTTTGATTTGTCTTTATAATCTTTCTTCCCTTCAGATTTTCGATCTTTCGAGTCGTTGACCGTCACACGACTTCGCCTTTCTCGGGCCAGAAAAACAGAGTTCCAGATTCAAGGAGCTATAGAACAGTTGTTACTGTTCCTCTAAGGTTGTCCGGATTCAGAATTTATGCACAGTCTAGGCTTCTGAGTAAAGGGCATAGCTCATTCACCTTGCGTGATGGCAAAGGAAGTCTCTCTGGGAATCTTCTCTCGCGAAGCTATATGCTTTCCTCTGCAAGCAATGTAATTACTCATCAGGCCCAATTCGCTTGGAAAAGGCATCATCTTAAATATTCTACCAGCTCTTGGAGTTGGCCTCGTATAAGCACGGTGGCTCAAGCGGTCAGCTTGTCGCTAACCCGCTCACATTTTCTAGTCCCCGGTATCTTTGCTTTCGCATGTGGACAAGTAGCATTGGCGGAAAGAGCTATGGGTCCAGTGTTAGATCACTATCCTTTCCAGAATTCTTTGTATATGACCGCCAAGAATGGCTCTATATATCTGAATTCTCTAATGCTTTCGGTAATAGAGGGCATTATCCTGATTGCGAGAGCATTCTATTTAGCTGTTCTGTTCTCTCCGAGTGTTATGCTTGCACCCTTTTCCGATATCTGTGGACCTCGTTTCAGGAAACTATGGCTTGAGATTGTACACCGTACTCTAGAAAGAGCAGGTCCTGCTTTTATCAAATGGGGTCAATGGGCGGCCACACGACCTGATCTCTTCCCGAGGGATCTGTGTTTGCAGCTCTCAAAGCTTCACAGTAAAGCACCTGAGCACAGCTTTGCCTACACGAAGAAAACCATCGAGAGCGCATTTGGCAGAAAGCTCTCTGAGATATTCGAGGATTTTGACGAGGCACCAGTTGCATCTGGGAGTATTGCCCAAATTCATCGAGCTTCTTTGAGGTTTCAGTATCCAGGACAAAAGACGAAGAACCCTACAGTGGTTGCTGTCAAAGTTAGACATCCGGGTGTTGGTGAATCGATTAGGAGAGACTTTGTGATAATCAATATGGTGGCAAAGATATATAACTTTGTTCCAGCTTTGAAGTGGTTGAGATTAGATGAGAGTGTTCAACAGTTTGGTGTTTTCATGTTGTCCCAAGTTGATCTAGCAAGGGAAGCTTCCCATTTGAGTCGCTTCATATATAACTTCCGTAAATGGAAGGACGTATCTTTCCCAAAGCCCGTATATCCGCTGGTACATCCTGCTGTTTTAGTGGAGACGTATGAGCAGGGAGAGTGTGTTTCACGCTATGTCGATGACATGGAAGGGCATGATCAGATCAAAACTAGGTTAGCCCACATTGGAACTCATGCTCTACTGAAAATGCTCCTGGTATTGCCTCTTTTGCTTGATTTCCCTCTTTAATCCCGCTTTTATCGTTGGATTCGAGATTCTGTTTTGACCCTCTTGATCTTGACGAGTTCTTGAATTCAGGTGGATAACTTCATCCATGCTGACATGCATCCTGGAAACATCCTTGTGAGGAAGAAGGGTTCAAGTGGAGGCCTTTTCAATTTCAAATCAAAGAAGCCTCACATCATTTTCCTTGATGTGGGAATGACTGCTGAACTCTCGAGGAATGACCGAGAGAACTTGCTCGAGTTTTTCAAGGCAGTTGCGCGTAGGGATGGTCGGATTGCTGCTGAATGCACACTTAGATTATCGAGACAACAGTCTTGCCCGAACCCACAAGCCTTCGTTGAGGTGATATACTTCACCCCCCCCCCCCCCCC